AAAAACCCCAAAAAAACCCAAAAAAAACACCACTGCATAGCTTTCCAAAGTGAGCTTGACAGTTTATACTCGCCCAGCAGTGAGTGAACGAGCCAGTTACTCTGCCTCCTTGTCGGTACTTGACGCTTTCAGCATTTTGGTTTAGCCTCTGGGGCCGTGCGGAGTGGTATCTCATTCGGTGACTGCTGTGTTTGAGGACCTTCTCAAGTGTTTGCTGGCCCTTTGGCTGTCTTCTTTCATGAAGTATCTGTGTAAGTCTTTTCCCATTACTTTGCTAGTTTGTGTTCTCCTTACTGACTTGCGAGGAGTTCCTTACAGATTCTGGGTAGGAACCTGTGGGTGGTTGGATGTGTTCCCAGCCACCTTTGGAGCTGGAAGATCTAACAGGCTCCCTGGAGGACCCCTCGCCTCCTCCCGACAAGCCTTCACTCGGCCCACCCGTGGCTGGGTGAAGATTTAACCGTCTGCCTCCTCTTTTCTGGTGCTGGGTTGTGACAGCCAATGCTTTCCTCTTGATGTGCAGGGTCCTCGTGGGTGCACCGAAGGCAGATTCCAAATACAGCACTTCAGTGAAGTCCCCGGGGGCTGTGTTTAAGTGCCGAATCCACACCAACCCTGACCGGAGATGCACCGAACTGGACATGGCTCGAGGTGGGTGCTCGTCACTGGCAAGGCAGAAGTGGGGTCTGCACCCTCACACTTCACTCTTTCCTCTCCGGGTAGCCCGATCATTCACCTGCTCGTCCGTCTGTCTGAGCATCCACCATGCATCCATCCACCCATGCATGCATCCATCCATCATGCATGCATCCCTCTCTCCTTCCCCCTCTCTCTCTCCAACACCAGTTAGGCAGCACTGGGATATACTTGTGAAAAAGGCAGAGAAGGAGCCTGTCATCCTAGGTCTTGAAACTCCGTGGGCCAGAGAGAGATTAAACCAGATGAGTGAGTGAGAGCAGGCCCGAGGGAAGTCAGGCCTTTGATCCAATCGAGATGGAGAGGCCCCTCTGGGGACCTTCCTCCGTGCCTGGAAAGACACACATCAGTTAGCTGGGCAGGCTCAGAGGTGCACCACAGAAGGCAGCGTAGCTGGGGCAGGGAGCAGGGGACGCGGAGCGGAGCAGGTTGGCGAGAAAGGCTGGGCTGACCAGGGTGAGGAGTTGGGGTTTTATTCTATGCATGTTGTGGGGGGGAGGTCATTAAAGTAGATTTCAGCTTTTATATCTTACGTAGGGAAAGATACGATCAGGCAAATGCTTTTAAAAGCTCACTTTGGTCTCATGGAAAATACCTCTTGAGTTGGATGAGTCAGCCTGGGTTCAAAGCCCATCTGGGACTTGTTGGGAATGTCCTGTGAAATCGAGACTGAGGTGCCCCCCACTCCCCACAGCGACAGCCCTGAGTGACAGCGTGAGCTGATGGAGGACTGCTTTGGCACACAGCAGGTTCCCAATATGCAGGGGCTGTTTTTGTTACCATTGTCACTTTGATTCCTTTCCAATCTAGATCTTCTAATGACTGGTTTTTAAAAAATATTAGTTATTTGAAAGGTAGAGTTACAGAGAGAGGGAGAGAGAGGGAGAGAGAGAGATCATACATCTGCTGGTTCACTCCCCAAATGGCCACAATGGCTGGAGCTGGGCTAGGCCAAATCTAGGAGTCTGGAACTCCACCTGGGTCTCCCACATGGGTGACAGGGGCTCAGACACGTGGGCCGTCTTCCGCTGCTTTCCCAGGTGCATTAGCAGGGATCTGGATTGGAAGCAACGTAGCCAGGAATCAAATTGGTGCCCGTATGGGATGCTGGCATCACAGGTGGTGGCTTTACCTGCTATAGCACAGGTCACAACACCAGGCCCTCAATGACTGTTTTTAAAACAAAGAGTCGCGTTGATTTCCCTTAGCAGAAAAAGACAGGTGTCTGTGGTGCCCTCCGGTGCCCCTCAGAGCCTGGCTGTGAGCCACACGTTCCCGGGACCTCACGGGTGGAGGCGCTGTCCACACCAACCCTGAGCCCTTCGCCAAGAACACGTGGCCGAGTGGAGCAGCGTAGGTGGTGCCGGAGCTGCTTCATGCCTCGTGGCCACACTGTGGGCCGCCCTCTGCAGAGCCGAGGTCCTTCCTCATCCCAGCCTGACTCTTCTCTTCTCCCCGCAGCAAGGAATCGGGGCGCGCCCTGTGGGAAGACGTGTCGGGAAGACCGGGACGATGAGTGGATGGGAGTGAGCCTGGCCCGGCAGCCCAAGGCCGACGGCCACGTGTTGGTAAGGCCTCAGGGGTGCCCTGGGCGGGTAGTGCACTGAGAACCAGAGACTTTGACCTGCTGGGGACACGGGGTGGCAGGGCGCGGACATGGCCTGGAGGTTGCATGCTTGCACCGCTGCGTAACAGATGGCTTGTTTTTTCTTCTCTTTTCTGTCAAATGTCAGTGCCTTCCCAGGGCTCTCAGTGTGGCTGCTGAAAGATGACAAATAAAATGTACCTCGTAAATCTCATTCATTACCCGCATGGTTTTGGTGTCTTTTTTATGTCAGGGAATAATTTATGTGAAGTACGAGTCTGAGGATGACAGTGTGGGTCTCACAGCTGTGCACACCTGTGTAACGCAGCCCAGAGAAGCAGTGTTTCCCACATCCCCAGGAGTTCCTTCCCCCTCTCCAGGAGATCCCTGCCGTGGCTGGTTTCCAACACAGTTTGCACTTTCTCTGCACGTTTGTATAAATGTAACCCTACAGTGTGTGTGCTCGTCCGTCTTCTTTCACTCTGAATATTTTTGAGATTAGTCCATAGTTCGTTCCCATGCATTCCTACACAATAAGATGCTGAATGAAATGCATGTTGTTACTCTATTTTGTTGGAGAGGGAGAGAGGACCCCCATTCAGTGGTTCACTCCTCGCATGCCTAGCTTGGGCCAGTCTGAAGCCAGGAGCTGGGAACTCCATGTGGGTCCCCCACGGGGGTGGCAGGGACCCCATTAGTTGAGCCATGGCTGGCTGCCTCCCAGGGTCTGTGTTTGCAGGAAGCTGGAGTCGGTGGTGGAGCCAGGGGCTGAACGTAGGTGCTCTTCAGTGAGCCCCGGTATCCTAATTCCTACGCGAAATGCTTGTTCTCAACACGTTACTGCTAGCCAGTCATCTGTTTGGCTTCTGGAGCGCACGTGCCGTGTTCTGCCCCATGGCTGCCCTGACGGAGAGACCAGGAGCGAGAAGGGAAAGCAGGTGCATCTAAATTAAAGTGAGAACGCGGCTTTTCAGCCTCACCAGCCATGTTCCGAGCGCTCAGGAACCCGGATGGCACTAGCCGCGGTGTGGCAAGTACAGCGAGGACAGTGCCATCCTCCTAGAAGGTTCTGTCGGCCTCGGGCGACAGGGAAGGCCTTCCGCACGGCTGCGGCCGAGGGTTTGGCTGTGTTGCTCTAACTGAAGTCGTTTCTGTTTGCAGCCCGGTACGAAGGTGGTTGAGAGGCCTCGCTGTGGCCTCGCTGTGGGGCCGCGAGCTGTCCTGGGTCACAGCTCCCAGCAGCCCCTGCTGTGACTCCCTCGCGCCTCTGCTTCCCTGGGAGGCTGGAGGGAGGCTTTGTGACAGGGCCGCGAGACCAAGACAGGAGGCCAGGTCTGGCCGCTCCTTCTGCGAAGCTGAGCGGTTGGTTTTCCTGGGCTCCTTCCCGGGGGAGACAGGGCCGTGGAGCCCAGGGAGCGAGGCCCCCTGGTCGGGCCGCTCAGGAGAGGGTGGGAGGGAGCAGCTGGACGCTGTCGCCAGCCTCCCGCGGCCTCCCCGCTGGAGACGGTCGCAGGTCCCGAGGCGGCTTCCCTCCACGCCGCTCTCGGCCTTGACTTCCAGTCCTTTCGCCGCCGGCTCTGCAGGCCCTGGCCCCTCTCCAAGCCGCCGCATTCCTCCAGCCCTGGTGGCCTGACCCCAGCTGGATGGCCTGGCCCTGGAGGGGCCAGAACTGTCGTCTGTCATTCTGGGGAAAGAAGAAGGGCTGACCCTGGTCTTAATCAAAGGGAGGCCTGCAGTTCTGACCCGAGCACGCGGGGTGGGCCGGCGGCCTGGTGGCTGGAGGACACGAGAGGCTGTTACGGGCATTGAGCCTGCAGCCTGTTTGGGCCTCTGCAAACATTTCCTGGCCCCCTGGGAGGGTAACCCCGCGGCGCCTGAGGACTTGCTTCCCGGGGGTGAGATGGAGTCTCGCCTTCCCACACATCCCTCCCAAGGAGGGGTCGTCTGGGCTCGTGGACAGCAGTGAGGACCTGGGGAAGAGTTAGCCAACGGAACCAAGAAGGGAGCGCTGGAGCACTCGTGGGTCCTGGTGCCGGGGCACTCGTGGGTCCTGGTGCCGGGGCACTCATGGGTCCTGATGCCAGAGCACTCGTGGGTCCTGGTGCCGGGGCACTCGTGGGTCCTGGTGCCGGGGCACTCGTGGGTCCTGATGCCAGAGCACTCGTGGGTCCTGATGCCAGAGCACTCATGGGTTCTGGTGCCGGGGCACTCGTGGGTCCTGATGCCGGAGCACTCGTGGGTCCTGGTGCCGGAACCGTTCCGTCTCAGCGAATGCACTTGTGTTTGACCCTAGCATTGCGTCAGGCACCCCCTAAGCCACTCCTTATGGGCGCTGGAGAAAAGTCGAGGCATCCCACAGCATCCACTTTCCTGGGGCCTTTTCTGTTCCCCGGTTTGTGGTCAACACGTAGACCATAAAGCTAGCCATCTGCACCGGTGTGAAGTGGACAGACAGCAGCACTCACCGTGTGCACGTGGCTGTGCCAAAGTCTCTGGAACTTTTTCATGAAATGCATGGAGACGCCTCCCTCGCCTACCCCCCCAGGTCGCTGGCAACCCGGTCCCACCTGCTGAGAGCTGGCTGGTTTAGATAGTGCGTGAGTGGACTCGCAGAGCGGTTTTCCTTTGGGGACTGCATTGTTCCGCTAGCTAAGGCCCTCCAGTTCTAGCCACGTAGACGCACACGACAGGGTCCTCTTCTCTTTGAGGCTGGAACGTGTTTCGGGGTGTGCTCCACCTTTGTTCATCCGCTTTGTTCTGCCTTTGTTCTGCCTTTGTTCATCCGCTGCTGGGCACTTCGGTTGCTCCTGTCTCCTGGCTGTTAGAACATTGCTGTGCTAAGGAGCTGCCTGGCCCAGCCCCGTCGTTGTGGCCATCTAGGGAGTGAACCAGCAGATGGAAGACCTCTCTCTGTCTCTGTCTCTCCCTCTCTCTGTAACTCTGCCTTTCAAGGAAATAAATAATTTTTTAAACAAGAATGACGCTGTGCTAAACAGGCATGCGTAAATGTCTCTTCACGAGTCTATTTTCACTTCTGTTGGGTGTATGCCTAGAAGTCAGATTACTGGGTCACATGCCATTCTATTTTTACTTTTTTAAAAAAGATTTATTTATTTATTTTAAAGGCAGAGAGGAACAGAGAGAGAGAGAGAGAGAGAGAGAGAGAGCTTCCATTCACTTGTTCACTTCCCAGATGGCTGCATAGGTTGGGGCTGGGCAAGGCCAAAGCCAGGAGCCAGAAGCTACATCTGGGTCTCCCACGTGGGTGCAGGGGCCCAAGGACCTGGGCCATCTTCCACTGCTTTGCCAGGCCACAGTAGGAGCTGGATGAGAAGTGGAGCAGCCGGGACTAGAACTGGTGCCCACATGGGATGCCGGGTTCGGAGGTGGTGGCTTTACCTTCTATGTCACAACACTGGCCTCTATTTTTGATTTCTAAAATATACTTCTTGGCTGTTTCAATATCTTCTTTGAAATGCCTCACCAAGTCCTTTGCTCATGTATTCATTGGCTTTTGCTGTGGTTGCTGTTGAGTTACCCTCCTGATGTTTTGCGTAAGTGCCGTCTTGCTGGGAAGACCTGTCAAGTCCCTTGTCCCTGCAAGCCTGGGCCGTCCTCACGGCCCCTCCGTGAAGCTGTATGAGCTGTTGAGAGCAAGCCTGGCAGCTTTGTCACTGGAAGCTCAGTGTGATAGGCTGTGTATGATTTATTTTGTGCGTCTGTGTTCCTTTTAAAGAGACAGGGAGACACACACACACACACACACACACACACAGTAAACAGACAGAACTCCGTCTGTTGCTTCTCTCCCTAAATGCTTGCGCTGGCCAGGAATTCAAGCCAGGTCTCCCACGTGGGTGACAGGCGCTCAGCTGCTTCAGCCATCACTCCTGCCTCCAGGGTGTACATTAGCAGGAAGCTGGGACCAGGAGCCGGAGCTGGGGACTGAGCTGGAGCTCTGGTGTGGGACGTGGTGTCTTCACCACGAAGCCAGCACCTGCCCCTGCGTCCTTCTCTATGGAGTTCACGCGGAGACCAGACCGCTCCGCTCTCGGTGCCTGGAGGAGGCGGCTCTAAGGAATCAGCATGAAAACAATTAGAGACCCAGCGAGTAGCCGCTTGCTGACTGAGATCCAAGCGGAGGATGGGAGAGCCAGGCAGCGCGCCGTAAATGCGCCCGCAGAATGACAGGTGATGACAGGGGACAGTGAGTGCCCACCAAGCCCCGGTTCACATTCTGGGAGCCTGGCCTCCTCCTGTTGTTTCTTCAATGGCCGAGTTCTAGCTGCAGAAGCCTTAGATGAAAGTATTTATTTTCAGATCAAAAGTAGGAGCGAGCTATGTTGTGCAGACTCGTCCTGAGCCCTGAGCCTGTCCCCGGGCGTGCAGGCGTGAGGACCGCAACCCTGCAGACAGCAGTGCTGGGTCCCAGGCTCGGGCGTGCAGGCGTGAGGACCGTACCCCTGCAGACAGCAGTGCTGGGTCCCAGGCTCGGGCGTGCAGGCGTGGGGACCGTACCCCTGCAGACAGCAGTGCTGGGTCCCAGGCTCGGGCGTGCAGGCGTGGGGACCGTACCCCTGCAGACCGCAGTGCTGGGTCCCAGGCTCGGGCGTGCAGGCGTGGGGACCGTACCCCTGCAGACAGCAGTGCTGGGTCCCAGGCTCGGGCGTGCAGGCGTGAGGACCGCACCCCTGCAGACAGCAGTGCTGGGTCCCAGGCTCGGGCGGGAAGGGAGATGGGGATGTGTTTTCTGCAAGTGGCTTCTGGTGCTGGTTTCAAAGTGAGGAACCGAGGGAGAACTTGAAAGCCGTGGCAGGGAGTGCAGAGTGTCAGTGAGAGGCCTTGTCTGGACCCTGGCTCAGCACCTGCCCTGCCTGGCTCCGTGGGTGGTGCCTGCAGGTTTTCCCCAGGGAGCAGGTGACAGGGTGTGCGAGCGCAGCATCGTGTCCCAGGCCGGCCTCTCCCCTCCTCAAATCCCCTCCTGCACCTGCGGGGTGCAGGTGACATTTCCAGAAGAAACATGAAAAATCACTTCTCCCCAACCCCCCACACACCGCCAGCCTAGACCCTGGCCGCTTCCCTCTGAGCTGGGGGGGGGGGGCAGTTCACGTGCCTCTTCGTGGCTCACGCGCCAGGCGTGTCTGTTCCCCGGTGATGTCTGGGTGGAAGCTGTGGCCTCCGGCTCTATCTCTTGGCTACTTCCTTTCTAAATATCAGGGCTGCCCCATCTCTTCGCGGCCTCCTGTCCGTCCAGAGCTTGCAAAGCCACGGCGTCCATTTTTGCCTTCTGCTGGTTCCTGGTTGAGTGGGTATGAGTGTCTGTGGAGCTGCAGCAGCCGTGCAGGAATGCGCGCCCATCCTGAGCGTGGGCCCGTGGTCGCCGCTGTGTGCACGTCTGCAGAACCACGCTCCCAGCCCCCCACGCCGCTTCCTGCTGCCGCCCCGGCCACTGCGCCTTGTCTGGGCGGGCTTCTCTGGGCCGGGCTTCATCACAGCCTCTCGGATCCTCCTAGTCCCTACCATGCACGGCTCTCAGTGGCCCGGGCCTGGCCCTGGCTGTGCACCGGGGTCTGGAAGCACTGTGGGGCCGTTGGCCGTCTGCAGTGGCGCATGCCTGCGTGGGAGGGCGTGGCGGGAGCGCCCGGAGAGCCCCGTGCCCGCCCCCCAGGCCGGACATTGCTGTTTCCATGCAAAATGATTTTTGAGTCAGTTGCTCATTTTCTTCCTCTTTTTATTATTCTGAGAGGAGAAGCAAAACATATATGGTGAAATACGTCAGACTGTAGGATTTGGGGTGGTGCGAGGCCTTCCCTCCCCTGTCTTGGGATTATTTGGAGCGAGACTGAGTGAATCTTTCTGTTTCTGACGGTTGGTCTCCTTGCTCTGTCGGTCGTCCCCACTCTGACCCTTTCTCCCTCACTGCAGAAGGCGTGTGAAGAGGTTGATGGAGGTGGTCATGCTTTGGAGACTGGCCCTGGGAGGTTTTTTTTAATTGACGCATGTGCGTGTACCGGTAATGGCAAAGTGGGCTAACCCCGGAGCCTGCTTTGTGTACTTTGTGTGCACTGACGCTCCTTGCTTTCCTGCGTGGGTCTTACCTCTCGCACTGTGACCTCTGCTCTCCCAGCGTGGAGTGGAGTGTGAAAGGTGGTATCTGGCTCTTCTTGGACTCCTCCGAGGTCTCTTTTTAAGTGTGTGGCCCTTCAAATAAATGAGGGAGCAGTGAAGTGGACATCAAAGGCAGGAAGTCCTTCTCCTAAGTGTCACCAAGCAGCTGGCCGTCGGTAGCACCAGGAGACACACAGCCGCCTGCTTGTACAGTCCCTGCCACCCAGGGTTAGGCTCAGCCACGGCGGGCCCCCCAATCCTCGGTCTTTGACAAACGCACCGACTCGGACATCCCTAATTCACCGTGCATTGCTGGTAACGAGCGGCTCGATTTGCACGCCATCAGGATTGAGTCAGAAATAAAAGACGAGGAGTCAGCGACAGCCCTGCAGATCTGTAGCGTCCACGTCTGCGGGTTCAGCGAGCTGTAGGCTGAGAATATCTGCAGGAAGCAAAGTTACATCTGCACTGACCATAGAGGGGCTCTTGTTACCGTGAGTCTCCCCACGGCGCAGGACGGCACACGTCACGTCCTGCCGGTGTCCTGAGTCACGTGGCGATGATTCGGCATGCCAGCTGGGCCTGGTAGGTTACTAGCATATGCTCTGCCAGTCCTATAAGGGACTTGAGCATCCACTGGCCCGGGGTCAGGGGCGCTGGGGTGACCCTCTGCTCATGGTGCCCTGTGTCACTTCCGTCCATTGAGGAACGTGCTGTTAGCACAGAAGCACCGGGTGGGGAGGGAGGAAGCTCCCGTGCAGTGGGAGGAGGGACACCAGGTGCTGCTTTGTGCTGGGCAGTGCCGGGGGCAGGGCAGAGCGTGGGCAAGCCCAGGTTCCAGAGTCGCCTCTGGCCCTGTCAGGCCCTGGCGGCTGTCGTCTTGAAGGCTGAAGAGCAGGGACCTTTGCAGGCAGTGCTCTCCCTCCTCGTGGGTGACCTCAGGGTGGCCGGGCCCCAAGTGCCGCCCCGCTCGCTCTTGACCTTGACCTTGGGCATCCCATGGGACCCCAGAGTGGTTACTGCCGAGGTCCTGGGGTCTGTGGGGAGGGCTCTGCGGACTGTAACAGCTCCCAGGCCTGCCCCAGCCACGGGTGTGGATGGCTTCTCGCGCAGGAATTAGGAGTTTTAAGATGCGTGAGACGAGGTAGACGCAGAGGCTGTGGATCCCAGCTCGGCTGGCAGCGCCGGCTCGCCCTGCAGCTTAGGCAAAGCTGTCTCAGCAGCTCGGAGATCCAAGAACAGCTCCTCTTCCCGTCTCCCGGGTCGCACGGGAGTCAAAGAGGGGCTAAGCACGGCGAAGGCCACGGCCTGTACAAACAGTGCGTTTGAGGGGTCAAAGCAAGGCGCTGCAAGTTCTGACCCCATTAACGGAGAATGCAGGTGCTGGCCAGTGCCCAGGGGAGCAGCTGCAGGGGTGAGCAGGGGCGGCCGGGGGAGGCGGTGGCCGCTGTGACTGATGGACGTGTGCAGACGCGAGCAGGACCGGGGCGGCTGTCGCAGGTGTCCTGTGGGACAGAAGGGTGGGCAGGGCTCTGTCCCACCTGCTGAGCCCTGGCCCAGGTCTGCTGATGAGGACCGTGTGCCTGGCAGTGCCCCTCAAGTATGGCGGAGAGGCTGCTTCTGGGAGCTGGCCAAGGTCTGCCCGTCCCTGACGCGAGCCAGGCTCTTGTCCACCCCAAGGCCCTCTCACGTCCTCCTCAGGGCCCCTCTTTGTCCAGCCTGGGGGCGACTTTGGGCGATAAGGAAATGCTGTGGGTCTGGCTAGCGGCTTAGGGACCTCAGTGTGTGCATTTGTCACAGCTTATTAAAGGGTACACCTGAGATTTGTGCATTTTGCCATCTATCAGTTTACTACAAAAAGGAAAAAAGGAACTGTCAGGGGCTGGCCTTGTGGCACAGCAGGTTAAACTGCTGCCTGCACACCAGCACTCCCTGTCGGAGCGCCAGTTTGAGTCCTGGCTGCTCTACTTCTGATCCAGCTCCCTGCCAATGCACCTGGGAAGGGAGCAGAAGACCTGAGTATTGGGTTCGTGCCACCGACGTAGGAGACCTGCGTGGAGCTCCCGGCTCTTGAGTGTCGTCTGGCCCAGCCCCAGCTGTTGCGGCCATTTGGGGAGTGAACCAGCAGGCTGAATGATCTCTCTCTCTGTCTTCTCTCTCTGTCACTCTGCTTTTCAAAATAAATCAATCTTAAAAAAGAGCTGTCAGCAGGCCAGCGCAGGCCTCTGCAGGCGGGAGCAGGTCAGGATCAGCCACACGTCCCCCGGGCTCTGGCCTGCTGGTTCCCAGGGTCCTTAGCGGAGTCAGCCCTCTCTCACCGCCACTGCTGGTCCCTGGCCCGGGGCTGCAGCATCTCACCCTGCTCGATCCCACTCCCACCTGCTCACGGCGTGTCTCGCCACACTGTGGGTCAGACCTGGGAAGACTCGCCCTGCAGACAGTCATTCCCGTGGCCTGCAAGGCCCCTGCCCCCCAGCACAGTCGCTCGAGACCGGCTCCTTTCTCTTGAACGTCCACACCTTTCTCACTGCACATCCTCTGCTCCCGACGCTCCTCCCCACGGGCTTGGGCGGTTAGTGCGTCCTCCGGGTGGGAGCCCCTCCTGGGTTCTCTGTTCCCACTGACGGAGCTGCTTGTTGTTCCTGGGCTGCCTCGTGGTCATCGAGATCATTGATGCCCAGAGCGGGGCCTGCTGAGGTGTGGCTGGCCACCTGGCCCCTGCACTGCTCTGGCCTCCTGCAGAGCCGCCTGGCACTGGGCTCTTGGGGCTGACCTTCCCGCTCTCCACTCCTTTAGGCCTGCGCCCACCGCTGGAAGAACATCTACTACGAAACAGACCACATCCTGCCCCACGGCTTCTGCTATATCATCCCGTCCAACCTGCAGGCCAAAGGCAGGACGCTGATCCCGTGCTACGAAGGTGAGTGTGGGCTGATTCGCCTTCACCCCTACCCGCCTCACACCGTAAGCACCCCGCCCCTCTCCACCCCACCCCCTGCAGCCCCCACCCCCATTCCCAAGAGAGGGCAGCACTGTCCACACCCAGATGGCCTCCTGCTGCCCGAGGCCCCGTCCAGGTAAGAGCAGGTGCAAACGTTAGCGCGGATCCAGGCGTTACCCACGGAGCCCAGCGTCCTTATCAAGCCTTGTGCAGTCTTGGAGCGCAGTTCACCGAGCCTCACGGCTTCCGGGCGCCGCCAGGTGCGCCGTGATTCTGGGACACGGGCTCCTCTTGGCAGCCTCATTTCCTTCCCTGAGAACTCGGGTGGGCCCGGTGTCCCTGCGCTCCAGGCGGCTCCCTCCCCACAGGCAGGGCTGTCCCCGCCCCTGCCCCCGCCCCAGTCGGTTTGGACAGAATGTCCGCTGTCCCGGGTCCACGATGCCTCTGCCCGTCTCCCCAGAGAGGCTCTGAGCAATGCTGTCTGCACACGAAGCGGGGGCTCTGTGCCGTGACCCTCGGAGGAAGCAGCAGGGCCCCCGCAGGAGGCACCAGCCTTTTCCTGGGTTTGTTTGCTTCTCCTCTGTGTGTGTCTGCGTTTGATCAGCCCTGGCTGGGCTGCGTGGGGAAATCCAGCTCTGAGCCTCTTTGTCTCTGTGGTTGTCCCAGTGCGAAGCAAACCGCGCTGGTTCCACAAACAGTGCGAGGGAGCGTGGGTATGGCGTTTGGTGCAAATCCACACGTAGTTCTGTCATGATGCACACGTCCACGGGGTCTTTGAAGACTCTGCACACACTCGGGAGGGAGGGAGGGACACAGGCGGCGTGTCCAGGTTCGTGTTCTGCCCATCTGCCCCTTTCTCCAGAGGTCAGCACAGGGCAGCTGACCGGGCTGGGGCAATTGAGGGAATCAGTGGGCAGTGGTGGCTGTAGGTTGGCCGTGATCACTGGCCCCAAGCCTGCCATCCAGTAGCCACAGGGTGGCCAGGCTCACTGACCCCAGACGGGGCTGCAGCAGGAGCAGCCGCGTAGTTTCCAGACGTGTGGAGATGGGGAGGTGAGAGAGGGTCAGTAGGGCTCTTGGCAAGGCTGTGCTGTCGGAGGTGAGAGAGGGTCGGTAGGGCTCTTGGCAAGGCTGTGCTGTCGGAGGGCTCCCACTGTGGGTGGCTGGGCGCAGTCCCCGCGGGCCCTGGCGGGGGGTAGCAGGGAGCACTCCTCCTGAGTTCTGCTACCCGAGGAGCCTGGGCTGGGGCCCTCTGCAGCCGACTGCACAACCTATTCTGCTTTGAGTGTGGGCTGGGGAGCCTCAGGGCACAGAGCAGGTGGGGAGGGGTTGTGCTCCAAAGGCGGGCTTGTGGGGGGCATTTGTGTGGGTTCCTCCCTGAGGCCGGAGCCGCCCGGGGGCAGGGGGTGGCGGCTGGGTGCCTCACGCACAAGACTGCTTTGTTTAGCTCACAGTTTGGGAGGTGTGCTTGGCGCTGGCTGCAGTCACACTGGCAGCAGTGTCATGACGGGAGCGCGTGCGAGGAGGAGGGGCTGCGTGACTGTCACAAGGCAGAGCTGGGCAGGGGCCAGGCTGGCTCTTCACAGAGCCGCCTGCTGTTTGGAACCGATTTCACCCCAGGAGACCGGACCAGGTCTGGTCACCTTCCGCCAGGTGGAGCCTCTTGGAGCTTCTGCCACCCTGGGGACCAAGCTCCAGCAGGTGGACGCTGGGGGACGAACCACAGACCACACCAAGCCGTGGTCCTCTCAGATGAGGCTGCTGAGTGTAGTTGTCACTCACTGAGTGGGCGGGCTTTCTCACACAGGTGTGGGGACCGACATGCAGGTGCCGATAGGGGGCGCTCGCCTGTGCGCCGACGCCTGCAGGGACCACCGCTTCCCTGTTTTGTGGCCCAAACCAAGCCTGCCTGGCTCTCGAGGCAGCGCCTGTGTTCCAGTCCTGTGGGGGAAGTCGGTGCGCACGTTGTGGGGAAGCCGGCAGAAGTCGGCTGGCCGCCTGTTTTGTTGAGGTCCGCGGCGGGGCTGGAGCTAGCCCCAGCCCGAGTTTTCCTCTCCTTCCGTTTCTCCTGTGCCTCACGATGGACAGGCAGCGTAGTGTAGAGGCTGGAACCCTGACTCTGAGCCCAGACTGCCAGGGTTCGAGTCCGACAGTGTGAACTCAGCTGCGTGGTCACTCGCTCCGCCGTGCCCAGCCTGCCTCCCGGGCCGTGGACAGGACGGAGTGATGCACATCCGTTCTTCCCACAGATGTGGGCCGTGCTTGTCCCCCAGGGTTCACCTGCTAGAGAGAGGCTCGGTTCCCAGGGCGGTGGAAGACCCGAACTGAGTGGTGGGATGCAAGAGGCTCCAGCTGGCGGAAGGTGACCAGGTCTGGTCCGGTCTCCTGGGGTGAAATCCGTTCCAAACAGCAGGCTGCTGTGTGGAGAGCCAGTCAGGCGCATCTGATTTGTCACCAGGAGCTGAGTTCACCTCGTCTCATTAAGTGCAAGGGGACTTCAAAAAGTTCATGCAGGGGCCGGCGCTGTGGCAGAGCGGGTAAAACCACTGCCTGCGAAGCTGGCATCCCACACAGGCGCTGGTTCCAGCCCCACCTGCTCTACTTATGATTCAGCTCCCTGCGAATAGCCTGGGAAAGCAGCAGAAGATGGCCCGAGTGCCTGGGCCGCTGCACCCACAGGGAAGACCTGGAAGAAGTTCTTTGCTCCTGGCTTTGGCCTGGTGCAGCTCCGGCTGTTGTGGCCATTTGGGGAGTAAACCAGTGGATGGAAGATCTCTCTCTCTGTGTCTTTCCAATTAGTTAATTAATTTTTAAAAAGTTCATGGAAAATGGAATTAAAAGATAAGTTTAGGGATGGGTGTCTGGCCTCGTGGTTCAGACGCTCATGTCCTGTATCAGAGCTCCCGGGTCGGTTTATTTCCTGGTTCCTGGGAAACAGCATTGACGGCTCAGGTAATCGGGTTCCTGCCACCCATGTGGGAGCCAGGATTGAGTTCTTGGCTCCTGGTGTCTCCTTGACCCAACCCTGGCTGCTGTGGACATCTGGGGAGTGAACCATCGGATGGCAGCAGGAGCCAGGAACTCAGTTCGGGTCTTCCCCAAGGGTGGGTGGCAGGAACCCAAGTACCTGCGCCGTCTCCACTGCTTCCCAGGATGTGCTGGCGTGGAGCTGGACTCTGGTGAGGGACGCGGGGCCTTGAGTGGCGGCCTCAGACCCCCCTTATATGCGTGGATTTCAAAACTCTTCCGCATCATAGTCGCTTATTCTTTATTCCATTTTTCATGGGTTTTTGAAGTCCCTGGTGTCTCCAGGCACCAGGTAGGTATCACCGTGGTGACAGCTGCCAAGAAGTTCCCCACCCACGGGGCAGGAAGAGAGGGAGCAGGAAGTTTGAAGAGGGGGAGGGGTGCCTGTGCGCTGGGGGCCTCCTCCCCGGGGACCCTGCTGAGCCCAAAGGCAAGGTGGCCCTAAGAAGGGCTGTTTCCTCTTAGGGTTGCAGTGAGAACGGAGACCCACACGGTGTGTGCCGTCTGCAGAGGCCGTGGAAGAGGGGCGGCGAGTGTGCCGTGCACAGGGCGGACGGGGAGGGGGCTGGGCTGGCTCTGTGATCGCGCCCTGGCTCTTCTCTGGGTGAGCAGTCCGAGAGCAGTCTCTGGGCCCTGAGCCCGGGAGTGCGAAGGCTGGGGCAGCGAGGGGCCCACGAGTCCTCCTGGCATTGCGACAGAGGGACCTCCGAGTGCGGGGTGACTTGGGAGCAGCTCCAGACAAGGCGCAGATAAAGAACCGTGGCGAGCGAGTGGTGCTCTCCTCATCCTCAGACCTAACCCTCAGAGCCCAGCTCACCTCTGATGGAGCCCATGTGCCCGCCTCCTGCCTTGGTGACCTCGGAAGCTCCGGAAGGTCCCAGGGCCCTCATCTGTCACGGGGGAGATTAACCCCCATGTAAGAGGTGTCGGGTGCACAGCTGACCCAGCTCCGAGTGTGTGCTCAACGCCTGGGAATTTTATTTACTTGATTTTTTTAAGATGGGTTGATTTGAAAGGCAGAGTTACACAGAGAGAACTTCCATGCTCTGGTTCATCCCCAAAATGGCCATAGTGGGTCCAAGCACTTGGGTCCTCCTCTGCTGCTTTCCCAGGTGCATTAGCAGGGGGCAGGATTGGAAGTGGAGCAGCCGGGACTCGAACCAGCACCCTATGGGATGCCGTGTCACAGGTGACAGTTTTACCCACTACAGTACAGCAGTGGCCCTGGGAATTTTATTTTTAAAAAATCTCGTATTTATTTGAAAGAGTGACAGAGAGGGGCAGAGACAGAGATTGACCACGTGCTGGTTCACTCTCCAAGTGGCTGCAACGGTTGGGGCTGAGCCAGGCTGAAGCCGGAGCCTGGATCTCCGTCTGGGTCTTCCAAGTGGGTGGCCTGGTGCTTGGGCCATCTTCTGCCTTCCCAAGTGCATTAGGGACGCTGGGTTGGAGTAGCCTGGACTCGAATGTGGGTGTTACTACTGCAAGTGGTGGCTTAACCCTCTGGGTCACAGTGCCTGCCCGTCCCAAATGTGAATTTTCCAATTAGCTTCCTGGTAATAGCAGTCTTAAATAGTCACGTGATGTGTCCAGTACCTCCTGTTTCGGTATCAGATAATGGAGGGTAGAGAGTTGGGTCTTACTGAGATGATTGTAAGAGCTGTTGAGGTTATAATTTCTGGACTGTCCTCGAAGGTCGTATTTGCTCAGTTTGTCCACTTGGGAAGTTCTCTTTCCCTGCCTTTGACCGTGATTGGAAGTTTAACTCATGCCACGTTTAAGCGTTCTCAAGCTTGGGATGGTCAAGGCGTGACTTTATCAGATTTTACTTCACTTTAAAACTGCTGCGTCGGTTCCAAAGATTTCTGTACCACTTCTGTTTTTATTTATTACCGAGGGATGGCTGGCCTTTTGTTCCTCTTGCGTTTTGCACGTGCTGTGTTCCAGCAGGG